GAACTCTGTAAAGCTGTAACTAGTATGCCATTTTTGTAATCTATACACACATAATGCAGCGGTCAGCCGAAACACCAAAATGACACCCACAATTTGGGGGCAGGTGTATTTGTGTTGGTGGGCACTTACTGGGATCTCCCCAAAATATCAGGCCCTGATCTCTGGTGATTTGGGCTTATGTGGGATAAGCAAGCAGGAAGTACAGAGGCAGAAGGACTTGTTGGCTGGGGACTGGCTTTACACAGTGTGCATCATAGTGACAGCTGTGTGTGCATGACAGTGACCAGCCTTCTCTAAGATTCAGAAGCTTCTGGAACTGGAACAGAAACTGTTTTCTGGCAGCTGAAGTGTACTGACTGGGAGCGGGGAGGCTTCCTCTGTTACAACAGAAACATACAAAAAAAAGTTTTAAGTTTTTCACTGCATTGATTGCTTTTTATTTGTCTTTTTCCTGTGTGACTTTCGGAGGACTTTTAGATTGGGTAATACATTTGGAAAAAGAAGTTCAGTTAGTTGTTTTGCTGCTGTATTTGCAAAGAAGATGTGGTTGAATATGGCACATGGTAGCATTGGAAATGCAGATTCAGAGTTGTTCCTAGTAACCTTATTGGCTGCGCAGCTGTATTTCTTTAAAAAAAAAAATACACAACATATATACCCAAAAACTTGGGTAGATTTATTAGGCACATGGATTTAAATACAGCTTTTTTCACTCCTAGTCTAATTAATGTTCAGGGTCATTGTTTCATTATTTTGTGTTTTTTTGTCTGTTTTAAAGTTAAATTTAATTTTGGAAAGTATCTGTAGGATTTCAAAAAATTTATATAGATTTGTCTGAGTCAATGAAGGGGGACATAAGTAGAGCATCAAATAGTAAGTGAGCCAATTGATCATTCTGTCCAGAAGATAAGTAATCAGGAAGGACCTCAGTACAGAGCTGTAAGCTCAGAAACGAGAGTCTTCAGATTTTTAAATAACCAGGTAACTTACCTAGTTATTTATCTGTGCATCGAATTGTACTTTAGTAAGGCCTGTGTGTATGTACTCAAGCCCTTACAGTTAGCCCATCTGTACTTTTACAAAAAATACATTTATGAATATACATATTTCATTTCCTTTGTTTACTCATAGATAGCATCTATGTCAGTTGTTTTCCTCTGTACGAGTGTGTGTGTGTTTTCTGCAGATATGGAACGTCTAAGTCTGGGAACCAAGGATTATTTATTAGACAAGGGATTTAGTGAAGCTCCTAGAAATCTGGGGTACCAGAGTTCAGTGGAGTACTGAGAGGTACTTCTGAGCAGACTGATCTGTGAACTGGAAGATGCTCTGCAGCCCCGAGGCCCTGTCGTGTGTCCCAGTCAGTGTGATGGCTTCAGTGCTGGCTGGGCCCTCTTCACTTGCCCTCTTACTCTCAGATGCTGGGACGTGGAGCACTACTTTCTTTTTGGAAAACCACTAGGAAATAGCATTAGGTAATATGTTAATTAAAGTAAAGTTAGTTTCTGTATATATAAACATGGAGGACAAAAGCAAATGATGGATTAAACTGGATAGTCTCCCCTTTCCCTAACTGTGACTAGAGATAGGCAGGTTGGGTGGTGTAGTGGCATCTTTCTTCCTCTTCTTCCCCCTCCTCTTCATGAGTCTAGAGTTGTTTTTGTGTTCTCCCATCGTTCCTCTGTTCAAAGGCATGAAGGGCCTGCAGCTCTGATTATTGCTGATACTCCAGGTAGCATGGGGGAGGACGGTGCTGTGTCAGTCTCTTTTATTTAGGTCTAGCTGTCTAGCTGTGTCAGTTCCTTTTAAGTACTACATTTACATTTGCCACCCTTAACTACAAAAACAATTGGTACCTTAGCTTGGCCTGCCTTAAGGAAATAAAATAACAAAAAGTTATAGACCAAGGGGTTTAAACCATAGCCATTTATTTTCTACAGTTGTAGAGGCTAGGAAGTCCAAAATCAAGGTGCTGGCAAGGTAGGTTTCATGGTAGACCATCATCCGTCAGCTTACATTTGGCATCTTACTGGATGCTTATGTGACCATTTCTTTTAGCATATTGGAAGAAAAGAACTCTGTGTTGTCTTGTCCTATAAGGACATTAATCCAGTTGGATCAGGGGCCTACCTTTATTAACCTTCGTTTAAGCTTGGGTCCTATTTTCAGTGTAGTCACTTTGGCAGTTAGTGCTTCAACATGTGAGTTTTTGGGTGGGACATTTAATCCTACCAGTTGGGAAGTACTGTACTGAATAGCCTTTTAGCTGGGTGCATTGCTCCCCTGAATAAAAGAGGATCCATTAGGAAAGTTGAAAGGGAACATGGATATTGGATGGCAGCTAGTGATTACTGCCACAGGTGCTCTTGGCTGAATTTTCTGAGTTGATAATGAGGAGCTTGGAGTCAGAATCCTGTGGCGTATTCTCTAAAGGCAGCCAGGGGTGATGTGTATAAAAGTGTGGGCATAGAAAATTATGGGAAACAAGGTGAGAAGTATTTAGGACTTGTGTCTGATAAAATATAGTCTCTGTCAGGAGAAGTGCTATTGCAGAGAGACCTTAGGTCACTTTTTCTTTGGGAGTCCTGGAATAGTGCTGGTTAACCTTGTAGAGATGAATGCCCACGTTGTAACCCTGGACCCCATTGATTTATCCTGTGGTGCCAAACTTGAGTTAAACCTGAATAGTGAAGTTTTAGTTTTAAAAAAATAACTCACACCTTAACATCTTTTGTCTCAAAAACAAAATAACATGTGCCATAGATTCACCACCACTAACGTAGACACAGGCTGTACATTGGTAAAAAAACCTATAAAATATTTCTTCCAATTTACAAGTAATTTTTTCTTTCTGGTAATGGGGATTGCATCCAGGGGCACTCTGCCAAGCTATGTCCTTATCCTTTTTATTTTGAGACATGGTCTTGCCAGATTACCAAAGAACGTCAGATATGTGATCCTACTGCCTCAGCCTTCCCAGTAGCTGAGATTATAGGGATTTCCCTCTGTACTAACCACCTAGCAGCTGAGCTATAGGCCAGTGCTGTGTGGTGATTAAATTTAGCCATGGAGATGGTGTTTACTGCCAGTGCTTACAAAGCGAAAGTCATTATGCACGAAATTTCTCTACAGTATGCTCTGCCTTAATCTACTTAATGAAAAAGATTATTGAGATAATTCTGTTTTCATCTAGGCCTGATTTCCACTTAAGAATCGTTCTGGCTTCACTGTTAATCTGAATGCTCACTTAGCCGCTGACTGCTGGGCTTCTCATCACTCTGGGTGCTGGAGGACCAAGTATTACGCATGGAAGTGTTTTGAGCTGAAATGAAAAGCATTTGTGTTAGGAGGCTGGTGTTGTGAATTATTAACACTGCGATTGAAAATCTGCTCTTTGGGTCACCAGTTCACTAAAATGTTACTCATACAAAGTGTACTAATCTTTAGACTGTAACTTTTGAGTCATAGTTATTATGAGCATTACTATACAGGGCTTGTGCAGAGAGACTTTAACATTCTAAAAATTTTGAGAACCTTAGAAGTAGCTACAGAAAACAGTTTTACTAAGAAAAAATTCCAAAGTTTTGGAAAGAAGAAAATAAATAACCAAACACATAAACTTCCTTACTTGAATTGTAAGATCAGAGCTCAAAAGAATTGGTGATATGTACCTGTAATTGCAGCACTCAGGGAGGTGAGACAGCAGCGTTCTAAGTTTGAGGCAAGCTTGGAACACAGTAAGACCCTGTTTCAGAATGTGTTACATACATGTATCAGTCCCCTACAATGAATGTAATTAATGTGTACTGCAAACATATACTAATAAAAGTAAAAAAAAAGGCGAAAAAAGAAATTCTGATCATTCAGTATGTTCAAAAGACTGTATATGTGTGTGTATATATACATAGATATATATGTATATGTATAGCACTGCCTAGATTGCAAAATTGATTCAGATTTTTCCTGCACACAGGATTGTGAAGTGTGTTGTGTATATATGTGGGGGAGAAATGTAATTACTTACAAATTTTTCATTGGGTTGACTTTTATATAGTTAGAAGTTAATATTTTGATCACCAGATTGAGATTTTGTAGGTGATATTTATTTAATGCAAATCTGTAATAAAGTTAACTATTTTTTCCTTGAGCAACTCACTTTTTGTCCGTTGCCCTACATATTGAAAACCCGAAAGGTTAAATTTTTAATAGTACATTACAGTTGGATTTTCACCTAATTATTCATGGTATTAGCTAGAACAGTGCAGTTTTTTTTTGTTTTGTTTTTGTTTTTTTTTTAAACAGAATAGTATATTAAGGAATAGTTCCCAAATACTGCTGGAATCCCCTGGGTTTTTTTTGTATTCAGAATTGAGTGTAGGACCATAGGCTTGCCAGTCAGTTGCTTTTGCCTCTGAGCTACATCCCCAGCCCCCACCTGGGTTTTTTTTAAGAATACTGCTTTCTGATTCCTGTCCCCAGATACTTTAATCTAATTGCTATGGGATGATATCACTGCGCTTTAGAATTTTAAAAAAAAAAAATCTCTACTTGCAGCAAATTTTGGAAATAGCTTTTCTAACTAAAAATTGAGGCCCTGAAATAATTAATGTGGGGCAAAAGAGGGGAAGCCTTTTTTTTTTGGAAATGAAATTTGCAACTGTTATGATTCTCATTTGATAATACATTTTTGCAAGTTTCAAAGCTCCAGTATTTGGGAATGAAAACTGACCAACAGCATTAGCTTCATCAATAAAGGGAAATTAGAATTTATGAATGTCACTGCATTTGTGTCTACTGGCTACCTAAATTTAGTTTTTTTTTTTAAATTCATTATGTAAAAATATAAGATGACATAAGCAACTTCAAAAACCTGGTGGTCAGACTATTTAAGTAACTTATGAGAAAACAGAGTTTCCCACACAATGATCAGTATTAGCTAAAAGAAAAAAGTTGAAAACCTATTTAAAATGTGGAAAAATTGCTTCCCAATATTTTAACAGAGAAAGACTGAGAACACACAGCATTGAGTCATCAGGAAAACTGAAGATCTCCCCTGAACAACACTGGGATTTCACTGCAGAGGACTTGAAAGACCTTGGAGAAATTGGACGAGGAGCTTATGGTTCTGTCAACAAAATGGTCCACAAACCAAGTGGGCAAATAATGGCAGTTAAAGTAGGTGATGCCATGATTATTTTTGGTACTTTAATCCATTAGGTGATTTTTATTTTTATTTTTGTGGTACATCACTTACCACTGTTGTTGTTTTGTTAATGTTTCTGATAAATCTGGGTGTTTTAAAAATTGCTTCTCTGAATTCCTGGAGGGTGTTTGTGTAGAGGTAGTTTTATCCGTGGTCCGTTTCCTCTCTCTGGAAATATGAGTGTGTGAAGTGCGCATGTTCATTGCACTTTTGGCATGATACGTTAACAGGTTTTAAAGTTCCGGCCCTTCCACTGCCAAGGTGAGTCCAGGCTGGGCGGCTGCACCCCTGGGAGCAGGGCAGTGCTGCTCTGAGCCAGGCGGGAGCTGGAGGAAGAGGCAGCGCACTGGGCTGGGCAAGGTGCGGGGCTAGGGCTAACAGCAGTCTTACTGAAGGTTTCCTGGAAACCACACACATGCTGTTGCCACTAACCTCAACCTTACTCGGTCCTGACCGGCTCGGCTTCTGTTTGTTTATTTCATCTCTACTCAGTACTGCCCTGTTCCCTGGTTTTAAAGTTGTATCAATATGCATACCTTGTGATAATGCTGTCACATTCTGTCCTGCTGTAAGTGGCATGCCACTTAATGTGTTTATTTAATTGAAAAAGGCCAAAAATGGAGATTGGGCTTTTGTACCTAACAGGCTGACATTAATGCCTATGATGAACTGGTGGTGTTCATCTGACTCCTACTGGGTTTTTGTAATTGTACTTATATGCTTGTACAGGTGTTTACAGAATATTTGGTCTATGTAAGATACGTCAGGAAAATCAGCAATGTGGGAGCATTTTAGGAAAAAAATAGGGAAAAATCAAGATGGAACCATACCTTCCATGAACTTAAAATGAGAGGAGGGGCCTCAGTGTTCTACTTGACATTTGGAGATGGGTTTCTAAAAATATTTTCTGTGTAGTGGTTTGTTGTGAACAAAATCCTACTGTAACTATTTGATCTCCTTCATTGCTGAGCATTTATTCTTTGCTGCTGAGCCATATAAAGTAATGTTAAGTTAGTGATAGGGAAATTTTTATGAGTCTGTCTGTAGGTTCTTTTATTGTATATTTCCAATATAACTGAGAACTATAGACTTACCTTAGAGAAGGATATTGAAAGAGTTTTGCCCTAGAATAAATCGTAGGATTATAGGATGGAAGGCCAAATTGGGGATGTTTACCTCCTTCCCCTGTTACAGCTTCCTTTTTCCTTTCCCAGTGCATGAGAAGAAAATTCCAATCAGCTCCTCATGCGCCATCAGTGCCCTCCTAAGCACCACCTCTGGTCAAGGTTATGTATGTCCCATACCCCATATCCAGGCAGAGGAGAACCCAGACTGCTGTCGGTTATGGGCTTCTCTCCACATCCTTGGAATAAAGGCCACTTTTACTTTTTCTTATATTCTGCTCCTTTATTGCGCTGAACAACTCTTTAACTGATATAAATGTGCTCAAAATTTTGCATGCAACCTATGTGTAGACATTTAAAAATGTACCTCTGGTCTGGATTATCTATTGAGAAACAACATTGTTTTCCTCCTTGGAATATGAAATGATGTGTGTTATTTTGTATTAACTGCAGTGTAAGTGGGAAGAGTCATTGGGCTCTTCTGCGTGAGTGTTGCGTTGTCCTTATGTACTATTTGTGTGACATCCAGTTTGTCTAGGGCTGAAGAGAAAATTTTCTTATAGAGATAAAGCTCTAAACTTTTCTCTGAGGTGCAAGGGTTGGGGGGACACATGCCTTTAAAAAGTTCTTTTGACCATAAATTGTTTTAGTAATATGGGTAGACTTTGACCATATTTAAAAGTTTTTTAAAGGTGTAAAGAAAATACTTCATTTTGACACTTAATACAGTCTCAGTGATTAATTTGATTGCATTTGGAATTTCATAATACTCAAATTTTGGAGGAATTTGAGTGAAAATAGGGAATTATTATCTCACATTCACATTCTGATTTTATTGGTGGCTACCAAGAGCCCCTTTCGAAATGCTAATGCTACTTCACCTGTTAAGCAATGCTACAAAAGGCAGTTATGGGAACAGGCTGGTCACTGTCAACTCTGTACCCTACAGAGGAGCTATCTTTGTTAGTGAAATACTTGAGCCAGCATAGCAGTTTGGGATAGGGAAGGGTGACGGAATGGTATGTCAGTCAGCTGTAGAGAGGCTGTATCATTGGATTCCATTAATACCAGAAGTGCCTTGATACATGTTACAATTTGATACCCGTTAATGACTATTGATGCCTTTTTCTATGACTTTAAAAACACTTATTGTTGGTTTCTTCAGAGAAGCATAATATTCCACCACACCTCACAGCATGTAATTTCTCATCATGTAGGCACATAGGCCCATTTGACAAGCGTAATTATACAGAAGCAGTGTGTGATTAAGAAGAATTTAGATTTGATGTGTGACATTTAGAGGAATGGTAAGACAGTGGTTCACACTGGTGACATCTTTCCATTTCTGTTGGTGAAATAAAACACAAAGTAGCTCTGTGTTAGCATTGTAATATACTTTTCGGGAATATAGGAAGGCTTAGATGTTAAGCCTATCTTGAAAATTATTTTAAGATTTACGTGCAGTAGCTGTAGAAAAGTGAACTGTACACTTAGCCTGTTTTATTCTTTTTATGATTACATTTTTTATTTAGTTTTGCAGAAGCCCTTCCTCAAATTTATTTTTCCACACAGAAGAAATGTTTGAAAAGGTGATTTTCTTATTTACTAGAAACACTTATCTTAGACTTAATCACTTTACATGCAGTAAATCAGACTCAACAAGATAACACAACATTGTATATATAAAATACTCAGAATAATTTCTTCATGTGTAGCTTGCGGACAATCTTCCAGGCTACCAGTGAGGTTCTGTGTTAGGACCTAAGATGTGGAGGCTTCTGTCTTCTCAGTTTTAATTGCACAGACCTAAGAAGAAGGCTGCTGCCCTCTGGTGGGTGGGAGGATATTAGTATGCTGTCTCCTGCGGACAGAGTGAAGCTGTAGGTCTGCCTGGGACAAAGCTGTTATGACCACTGTGCCTCCTCCAGCTTAGGGGACACTGTCAACTTTGACTTGATAGTGACTGGATTTGGATCATCATCCTCTACAAGTAGTACTTAATGTTTCATTTTAAAATTTAAATGCGTTTTTAAAAACTGATACATAAAACATTAAAATTGTTTGCATATATGGGGTAATGTTTTGATACATGTAGACACTGTATTTATGTATTTATTGGAAGGTCTACTGGGGACTGAACTCATGACCTTGCGCTTACCAGGCAAGTGCTTGAGCTGCTGAGCTAAATCCCTGACCCTGTATAATACTTAAATCAGGTTAAACATACCTACTCAAACATTTATCATATCTTTATGGTTAAAAACATTCAAAGTCTTTTAGGGTAAAGTACATTATTAGTGGTTACCCTGTTGTACAGTAACACAGCAGAACAGCTCTAATTTAGTGCCCATTGATCAGCCTTTCCCCTTCTATTCTGCTCTCCTTTCTTCCCATTCTTTGGTGCAATCGCCTAACTTCTATGGGGTTAACCTTTTTATATTCCACATGTGAGTGAGATCATGCTGTACTAATCATTGTGTGCCTGACTTATTTTACTTAACACAGTGATCTCCATTTCCTTCCATATTTGCATGACACACAGGATTCCACTCTTTTTTATGGCACTGGTATTTGTGTACATTTTGTTTATCCATTGATGGGTAGGTTATTTCAATTTCATAGCCATTATACATAGTTCTGCAGTGAACATGAGGATTAATGCCCCATTTTGCATGATTGTGGGATAACCATTGAATGAAAAAAATGAGACATGAATAGTCATTGTCCTCTAAAAGTTATGTAGGTATCTCTGAGTAGCTGTCTCGAAGGACTGATTGTCTAGGTTCATTATGTTCTTGAAGAGAAAAAATAAACTGGGCTTGTTTTGTGAAGCTGTAGTTTTTATTTCTCAAGTGATTTTCCTTGTCTCTTTCCTAGTTACTGCTCAGTTTCTAATTCTTCTATCTACCTCCGCCTGAATCTGCTTACAGTAAAGCTTACAGGCTTGGTATTATAGCTTCTCTGTTGTCTAACAGTCATGTTGTTGTTGGGTAGCATGCTTCTAAAAGTGGCTCACTAACTAAATGTTACTGGGTTCTGGGTTGCTCACCTCTCCCTCTGTAGTTAGATTCTAGGTTCTTCTTATTGTCAAGCAAAGAATTGGATGAAACAAGAAAAACAGCCGTGAAAAAGGTTATTTGAGAAAGTCAAAGTGAAGAGTGAGGGAGAAACTAGTTCTGCAGAGCACTGACCAAGCAGAAGGAGAACAAGCAGCGGATGTGGTGCACACCTGTCATCCCAGCACTCGGGCAGGTACCTAGAGTTCAGGGTGAGCCTGAACTACAGAGTGAGACCCCAGCTCCAAGAAAGAAGAGAAAGAACGGGCAGTGAAACCGCACCCTGGAGAGAGCAGGCAGGCTGCCATGAGGACTGTCACCATAGCAAGGTCTTGGTCTCTGTGTCATTTATACTGTCCAAATCTTGAAGAAACCTGCAAGAGCTTCTACATAGGGGTCCTGAGAGACAGCGCTAGAAGTCCACATCTCAGGCTGACCTCGGGAATAGGCCGTCCTGTTGAAAATATGCTGAGTTCTTGTGAGAAGTCCATGTGCAGGGTTGTGGGAACTGTTCTGTACACACATTCTGGGATTTCTATAGAGTAGATCATGCCTACTTCCCCAGCCAGTGTTGCCACACTCTAATCTCCTGTGTCACTGTCACACTGATTTACTGGTGCTGTGCATTCCTTTGGCATGTTTGAACACAAAACAGGTGACAATGGAAGAGAAGAATGCAAGTGAGAGGGAGCGGAAGGGACTGAGGTCACTGCTGCTGAAGAGGGCAGCCAGTGCATCTGGCGTTTCACCTGAAGGGTTAATGCTGGAGTAACGGTTTTGTGTCATTGGAGA